ACTGCAGTCATCTGAACAAAATTATAGACATTCGGCACATTCCATTAAAAAAAAAAAAGATTCAACATTATTAGCCTTATCCAATTACCTTTACATCTTGGGCAATGGTTTTCCTCTCTAGAAGAATTTCTGTAAGAGATCGATGTGCTAAGAGACGCTTCATGGTGGTTTGTACAAGACATTGGACAGCTTTGGACACATGAGCGATACTGCTTAGGAGAAGAGAGGCATTTTCCATTCGGTAGTAGCAGATGGCATCTATCTCCATTATAAGCATATCTTTGGTCACAACCTAAGCAGAAAAAAAATTGAGATGGCAGGCTTGATTTTGGGGCTGTTATGTGGAGCTAAAGGAACTAAAGGTCTGCAAAGTGAATTTTCTCAGCAAGGAGAAAAAAAGTGCTTAGGCTATCCTGTATTCAAAATACACATGTATTTGAAATATTATGGAGTTTTTATTACATCCACTAAAGAACTCATGATTACAGGAACTGTTCTTATTTTAAATCTTTTTGTAAAAATATCAAGAATAAATTCTGCATGAAAACATTCCATTGATTTTATATTAGATCTTTCTAAACTGATGCACACAAATCTGGTAAAAAGGCATGTTGTAGGAAATAAGCACTCTCATATATGCTTCTTAGAGTGCACACTAGAGGGTAATTTGGATTCACTGCAGAATTTTACCAGAACTTCAGGGAAGAACCAACATTAATACTCCTCAACTTCCTCCATGAAATAGAAAGGGAAGGAGCGCTGCCAAACTCCTTTCTTGAAGATAGCATTACCCTGATGCCAAACCCAGACAAGGAGTCAACGAGAAAAGAAAACTATAGGCCAATTTGCTCAAGGAACACAGATGCCAAATTCTCAATGAGATACTTGTAAACAGACTGCAACAAATCATTAAAAAGATTATATATCGTGACAAAGTTGGCTTTGTCCCAGGGATGCAGAATGATTTAACATAAATTCATAAATGTAATATGTCACATAAGCAGAAGCAAGGGGAAAAAATCACATTATCATCTCAATAGAGGCAGAAAACATCTTTAACAAAATCCAACATTCATGATTTTTTAAAAAATCCTGATGGCAATAGGAACAGAAGACTCTTACCTCAAACCAATAAAAGCCATTTATGACAAAGTCACTGGCAACATCATACTAAATTGGGGAAAATGAAGGCATTCCCTCTAAAGTCAAGAACAAGATGAAGATGTTCATTCTTACCACTCCTATACAAATTTGTACTTGAAACTTTAGCTAAAGCAATCCAGTAAGAAAAAAGATATAAAGGGATATGAATAGGAATGGAAGAAATCAAACTATCCTTATTTGCAGATAATATGATCCTTTGAATATAATACCCCAGAAAATTCCACCAGAAGACTACTAAAACTAATAAATTCAGCAAAGTGGTAGTATACAAAACACAAAACTCAATAATGTACTTGCACACCAACATTAAACCCACCTTCAAAGAAATCAAGAAAATAATCCCATTCTTGAGTTTCAAAAACATTTAATACCTAGGAATTAACCTAACCAAGGAAGTAAAAGACCTTTATTAACAAAAACTATAGAACTTTGAGAAAAGAGATTGATAAGGATGTTAGGAAATAGACATCTCTTGATCTTGGTTAGGCAGAATCAATATTGTTAAAATGGCCATATTAGCAAAAATGATATAGATTTTATGACATTCTGAATAAAATACCAACGGAATTATCCACAGAATTAGAAAAAGCACTCCTAAAATGTATACAGAAGTGGAAGAAATTCATAATATCCAAGGTAATCCTGAGTACAAAGAGCAAAGCAGAAAGCATTACAATCCTGGACCTCAAGTTATATTGCAGAGCTACAGTAATAAACGCAGCATGGTACTGGCATAGAAAACGGACATGTTGATCAATGGAATAGAGTAGAGGTTGCAGAAACAATCCCAGGTCCCTTCAGCCATTTGATTTTTGACAAAGGAGACAAAAACATAGGCTAAAGAAAAGATGACCCTCTTTAACAAATTTTAAAATGTGTGGGAAAGCTGGTTATCCATGTGCCAGTGAATTAACCTAAACCTGTATCTCTCACCCTATACTAATACCAAATCAAAATTGATCAAAGCTCTAGATATTAAAACAGAAATACTAAGTCTGCTGGAAGATAAAATAGGTGAAACTATTAAAGACACAGACATGTATTATTGAATGTAATTATTATGCATCACAAACATAAAAAAGAAAATATATGTGCTCAATTTTCCTTTTAACACATTTACCATAGTGTTATATGTTAAGAATTTAGCAGTAAGAGTTATTATTTGCAGTATTTCTCATTGGAATAAAACTCTGGAAGCAATTTACATCAATAATAGGGAGTTGGTTGAATAAATGGTGATACAGCCACACAATAAAATGCTTTATGTTCATTTAAAGAGCTAGAAGACAGCTAATATATGAAAAGATGATCACAATATATTGCCAAGTAATGAGGCATGTTTCCAATTGGTATACACAATTTTAAACACACACACACACACACACACACACACACACACGCCTGTCTGTAAATAAATCACATACCTAGAAAAGCCTAAAAGAATAGATCCCAAAATATCAAAAGCTATCTATGATAGTAGAATTAGGGGTAAGTATATTTTCCAAATTTTTTAACAGTGCATTTTAATTACACAGAATAATTGTGATGTTTTCATATGTGCATATAACATAATTTGATCACTACCAATGTTTTTATTGTGCCACATGTGTTGGCACACATCTGTAATTCTAGCACTTGGGAGGCTGGGGCAGGAAGATCACTGTGAGTTCACAGCCACCCTGGGGGAAAAAAGTGAGTTTTTTTCACAAAGTGAGTTCAAGGCCAGCTTGAACTACATAGCAAGGCCGTTTCTCTAAGAAAACTCAACATCAATTAATTAATTTAAAATACACATAAGATTTACTATCTTAACCATTATAAGTGTACAGTTCTGTGGTGTTAAATACATTTATAAGGTGTACAGCCATTACTTTTTTCATCTTTTAAGTGAAACTTTATATCCACTAAACAGTAATTCTCCATTTCTCCCTTCCTGTCACCTTTGGCAACCACCATTATACTGTTGACTGTCTCTATGATTTTTATTACTCTAAGTACCTTATAAAAGTAGAACCACACAGTCTTTGTCTCGTGATTACTTTCTCACTTAACATAATATCCTTGAGCTTCATCCATGGGCAGCGTGTCAGAAGGCTGTATGCCTACTGTTACGTTCAATGACATTTTGCTCATCTGTCTGCTCAGTCACTTGCGTTGCTTCCAGGCTTTAGCTCTTATGAATAACGCTGCTGTGAACTTCAGTGCATAAATAGCTCTTAAAGATCGGGGCTAAATTTTATTCCTCGTGTTCAATTTTATTATCTAAAAATAAACATTTTTAAAAACATAATTTCTATTTACAAAAAGAATGAGAAAGAACCTCAGACTGAAAGTGGAAGGGAATTGAGGAAAAGTTTATAAATCCGAATCACAGAGAAAAATTTGGATATTATATCTTCTTTTTACTTTTTAGTTATGCTAAACTGCAGTATGACATAAAGTGTATCAACTTTGGTATACATTTTAGGATTAATCTTTTAAGTGTAGAGTTTAGCTGTACAGCCAAACTCCAGAACGCTTTTTGACTTGCAAAGTTGACATCATTAAATAGTAATTGTTTCTCCCTCTCCATAATCCCTGGCAACTACCATTCTACTTTCTGTCCCTACGAATCTGACAGCTCTTACCCACCTCCCCTCTTGGCTTTGTCCCCATAAAACACCTTTGAGAAGCTGGATAAGCAGGCAACCCACTTCCCAGTCCCCCTTCTGTCTCTCTTAGAAGCTTGCTTTCTCTCGATAAACTTTTCCTACCCTTAAAAATTTTTTAACAACTCTAGGTACTTTTGTATAAGTAGACTCATGTACTACTTGCTTATTTTTTGTGACTGGCTTATTTCACTTAGGTTTCTTTTGGTTCATCTATGTTGTAGGATGTGTCAGAATTTCCTTCCTTTTAAAGGCTGAATAATAGGGGCTGGGGATTTAGCTCAGTGGTCCCACCACTTGCCTTGAAGCACAAGGTTCTGAGTTCAATACCCAGTACCAGAAAAAAAAAAGGTGAATAGTCTATTGTAGATTCTATATCACATTTACTTATTTATTCAGCACTCATTGACTACTTGGGTTGCTCCTACTTTATGGCTATTATTAACAATGCTGTTATGAACATAGGTGTACAAATATTTCTTCAAGATACTGCTTTTAATTCTTTGATATAAATAAAAATTGCTAGATTGCATATTAATACTATTTTTAATTTTTTGAGAAGCTTCATTCTGTAATCTGTGCCAACTTATGTTCCTAACACTGTACATGTTTCAATTTATCTATATCCTCTTAAATACTTGTTATTTTCTTTGTTTTTATAGTGCCCTCTTAATGGATGTAAAGTAGTGCTTCGTTGTGGTTTAGATTTGCATTTTCCTTATGATTGGGGATGTTGAGCTTATTTTCATATGCTTGTGGTCACTTGAACACATTCATCTTCTTTGCACGTCTTTGGAGAAATGTCATTGTGAATCAATATGGGCCAGGGTTCTCTAGAGAAATGGAGGGGTGGAGGAAGGGAGAGAGAAGGGGAGAAGGAAGAGAATGTTCTTCATGTATCTTCAAGTTAAACTCTTCCAAGATAATGATTTGCAAATATTTTCTCCAGTCGCACAGGTTGTCTTTCATCCTATTGATTGTGTCCTTTGGTACATACAAGTTAACTCTAATGGAGTCCGTATTTCCTACTTTTGAGCGTAGTCATTTGCCCAGGGCTGGAACTGGTAGCTCAACCATGGCAAATGTAGAGAGAAAGCCAAAGCTTACCTCATGAAAGGGTATCTCCAAGGTCTGGAGACGAAGGTCAACCTTGTAGTAAGTATCCAGGCAGGGCAAAAAGAAGAACAGACCTAGAACAGTGGGTAGGGGGAGTAATAGGTGAATAGCAGACATGGACACTGTTTGGAATTCACGTTCTCAGGGTCCAATTGCCCATTATATCGCTTCCCTTAGCCTCCAGTAACATCTCTCCTCTGCCCTTACAGTGATTTTGGGGGCATTTTTCTTTTGGGGGGGTTATAGCTTAGGTTACCATATAATCTGTTATTTAAATGAGGGTAAAAAGGGAGCACTCTTAAAATATACTCCAGGACTGTCTGGGGATTTAGCTCAGTGGCACTGCACCTACCTTGCAAGTACAAGGACCTGAGTTCAATCCCTTGTACCAAAAAAAACCCACAAAAAAACAAAATTTACTACAGGACAAGAAGCATAAAAAGAAAGTACTCTCACCAAACGGGGCTTTATAGTCACTTTAGTCAGGGTGCTGACCCTTCCAGATCTCAGTCACATGTCTGTCTCTACCTTGAACGGATTTCCCCATGTAGACATCATATGTGTCTTTGCTATCCTCAGCATCTGACTTAGGGCCTTGTAGACGCTCTGTAACATAGCTGTTAATCTGTGAATGTATCCGTGTGTCAAGCTTCAGAGCCGGCAAGCTCCACGCATTATTTCTTAAAATGTGAGCTCCAGAGGTGATCAGAACAGCAATATCATGATACCAGCCTTCTGGTTGGCCAGTTAGTCCTCACCTACTCAATACTATATACAGAGTCATCATACGCTAAGCATCTGTAGATGGATTTATGAGAACGTAATGTCTCTTGGGATGCGGTAGTCTCCCTCAAGAGGCATAGCTTTGTTGGAACGAGCTGCATCTCACAGAACCGAGGATCTATCCAGGAGCAGCCCAGCTACTATCCCTCTGGGCCCCCAACAGAAAGGGCTCCAGAACACCAGGGGCACAGCAAAATTGTCCATGTCTTTGAACTTCAGAGTGTAGTTCTACATTTGTATGAACCCATCTCTTGGGTTTTGAATCTTCAAAGTCTGATTTGTGACTCGTACGTTGGTCTCTGTTCTCTACTTGTTTCTGTAGGCCTTGCTGAGAACTCAGACCCTCTCCAATATATGCACAATAGAACTTTGCTCTTTCTCATACTTTCCTGGCTGCCTTCTATCTCCAAACCCCAATTACTAAACTTTTCAGACCAATCATACCTCTATCTATGCTCCATAATCAGCCTATGTCCCTGAACATCATTTTCACTAGGTTTCAAGGACTCTGAGATCAAAGACTAGGTCCTACTCATCCACTTGTGTGTCCCTCTTAGTTAGCATAGTCTCCAGAACACAGGAAATATTCAGTATATGTCTGTTAAATTCCACCAGTTTATTACTTGGATACTGAACTTTGCCTGCCTTTCGTGATTTGATCTGGCCCCTCATTTCTGAACTAGCTCAGTTTTTCTCTGAGAATTCACAGAATACTGGTCATACACATGCTGTACTCAAATCAGCCACAGCCGTGGGTTCCAAGCTGACTTACTACTCCAATTAGTCTGGCCCTGGTGTGGGGGTCTGAACTCTTCCTTTCTCTTGGCTACCTGTGCTGTGGTAGTAACGCGCTCTCAAGAATTTCTTTAAAACTTGCATTATAACTGACAGATTGGAAATGCAAATATCATAAATCAAGTTACTTCCTATAATCTAAGGTCCATGTTATAAAGCTACACAGATTGAAGAAATTGGTAAGTTTGGTGGCAGGGATAGTTGGTTTTTGTTTTTGTAAAGAGAGGTGCTTCTTACCAGGACCTTTGGCTCTTCCAGGAAGCAGATGTCCCAGTCGGAACGTAATCACTCTCTCATACTCTTGTATAACCTGAAGGGAAATGTAAAACTTTCAGATTACTCCGAGAAAGAAAAAGAAAATCTTCGAAAGCCCTTGGTACAGGGGCTGGGGATTTAGCTCAGTGGTTCCCCTTCCTGCCTCACAAGCGCAAGATCCCGAGTTTGATCCCTGGTAAAAAAAAGAAAAAGGAAAAAGACCTTGGTATGAAAGTGATATCAGAAACTTTTTCTTTTGAGAACTAAGAACAAATTCCTATTGATATTTAATGTTGTAAAATTTATAAAATTTATATTTTAGTATAGAATTTCAGAAATCAATTGATGAACATACTACTGGCTATGTTAATTTTTGAGCCTAGGAAGAGAATTTTGATTGAAGACTCACTACTATCTAAACAATAATATTTTTTACTGTGTCCAATATTCCTTAAGTCAGATCTTTTAATCTTTCAGTGACTTCAGTATTATCAGCTTACATATTATTTACTGGCTATTTAACTGAAAGATGGAGTATATTTCAGTACCACTTGTGATATTTTGTTTAAAATTACAGTTTCTTCAAAGTCTACTTCAACATGATCCAATGATTTTTTTAATTTGTCAGTTCTTATGGATCTTGAAAAACTGAATGTGCCCTGAAAATAGACAGAGATATTTTTAAGCAGCAAAAGGAAATTCTCTGAGTAGTCTCTTAGAAGAATGAGAAAGTTACTCCATATTTAAAAAAAAAATAAACTTCACTTTCTGGGCCAGTATTAAAATCTGAGTTCTATTTCTTATCATTAACTTAGTTGACCTGTTTTTCATATATACACCCCACAAAGCTGAATGCTTCGATGGTATACAATCTTTTTTTTCTAGTGCCTAAAGGAATTCTGACATGTAGTAAATAGTCCATAAATATTTACTGAATGAATAAAGGAGTAATTTGTGAGTCTAAGAAAGTCAGTTTTCTCCCTATCCCCTCTCCATTTAAAAAACTCCACTGACTAATAACTAGCCAAATACATATGTTCCTCAAGTTATGACAACAGGATAAGTCCATTGTAACTTGAAAATATATTTAATATATCTAATCTACTGAAAATCATAGCTTAGCAATACAGTACTGATTTTTGCTAATTGTACTGCACGGTACAGTAGTGTAGTTTTATGTTCTGTTATACATTATACAGTCACACATGTAAGAGTTATGCAAATAAAAGCAAAGTCATCAAGTTGGGGTTTCCTTTGACCCTTTCTTTGTTCTGAATATTATAATGTACATACAATATACATTTCCTTCATTTAATGACCAATTCATTTAATGGAGGAATGTCTGTACTGCATACATGTACTAATACAAAAATTATATATATATAGTAAGTGCTAGAAGGAAGTGAAAGCAGAGTGACCCAGGAGAACAAGGAAGGAATGAAGGAGGAAGCAAGAAAGGCTTCACAGTTATTTTTTGGCCAAGTCTGTTTTTGGTACCAGGTATTGAACTCAGGACCTTGATCTTCCGAGGCAGGTGTGGTGCCACCGAGCTAAATCTCCAGACCTTGGGCTACATAGTGAGCTCCCAGGCAGGCTCAACTACATAATGAGACCCTGTCTCAAAAAAAAAAAAAAATCTCTAAATCCCCAGGCCTATCCAAGCCAAGCCTCTGATGAGAAAGAGCTGACCTGGAGGGTGAGTGGCCACCAGAGCATTGCATATGTTATGACAACTGGATGCCAAACACAGTGTCCTGATGTGGTCAGTGAAGCATCAGGAAATTTCCTATTGCTCCTCATGGAAACTCACCTTTATGCAGAACCAGATGGAAAAAGGGAAAGTCACAATGACGAAGAGCAAGGAGGCAAGGACAAGAAGCCACTCACAGGCTCCTAAACCTGAGGACTTGGCACCTAAAAGGAAAAATGAAGAATTATACTGGAACCTCACCATCTTAACTGACTAGTACTTTTCAGACCTTGGCATTTGGGACAGAGCAGCTTGGAGACATTGCTAGAAATATTAGAATGAGCCAGACATCAGAGTAGTGAGAGCTCACAGGGCCAGGGTATTGTCTGTGTGAAGGGCCGTGTGAGCCTTCAGGGGGTGGTGCAGGATCCTGCATAGGGAGTGGGAATACTAGACCAGAACACCAGTGGGTTCCAATTCCGGCCCCATTATTTCATGTCCATAGCTGACCTTCACAGGGAACAGTCTCTTCAAACCTGTCTCCTCGTTTCTATAATAGGCATGTTAACTATCTCAGTAACTAGCTCATGAGATATATCTTGTATCTCTAAAGTAGACGTGATATATCCACATAAAAATGTGGAACTGTGCTTTATATGTATCAGGTTTTACTATCTAAAGTGTCCAGAAACTTATTTTTCATGAAACAACATTTTTATTCACCAGCTGCCCTACCGTTTGAAACCTCACTATTAGAGTTTCTTCTTTGGGTTAAGGAGTTGATCTACCAGTCTTTGAAAATCATTTATGTGACATAATGATAGACTATTAGTATCTATAAAAAAAAGTGATAAAGAACTGGATGCAGAACATTAAGGATGTTTGGGTGATAAATGAAATGGCATCAAGGACAGCCATCCTCAGGAATACAAGCTCTTGGGGACTTATCATTTTACATTAGTCCCCAGGCCCTAGAACAGTGCCCAGCAGAGTGTGGGTGTTCAATAAATGTTAAATTGTAAGGATAATGGAGATTTCAAGAATTTTAATCTCTAGATACTAGAACACTGGCCAAAGGATACTATTTATCAGTATATAAAATCTCATAGAGCATTAAAAGATATCTAAAATGTAGGAATTGGTAAAAAGACTTTTTTTTTTTTTGGTACCAGGGATTGAACTTGGGTCCTTGCGCTTACAAGGCAGGCCAAAAAGACTATTTTTAAAGAATGAGACAAAAAGGACCTAATTGGGAGGCCTGAAAACTTGATTTCCAAAGCCAAATATGGTAGCATGCACCTGTAGTCCCAGATGAGGCAGGCAGATCCCTTGAACCTGTTTGGGGCCAGCCTGGGCAGTGTATTGAGAGTATGTCTGGGGAACCCACAACTTCACACAGGTGAAGCAAGCACTCTGCCACTGAGCTATATCCTCAGCCCTTTAAAAGAGTTGTTTTGACACAGGATCTCAATAAACAGCTAACTTACAAAGGCTGGCCTCAAATCTGCAATCCTGGTACCTCAGCCACCCAAGCAGCTCAGACTACAGTCATGCACCACCACTCCTGGTAAAATATTTTGGTTTTAAAATTTGAATTACTTGTCTGGAGAGATCATCACCAAGTTGATGTGCAGATCATTTGAGGACAGATATGATATACAAACTATACCAGCATAAAAAAAAACTAAACAAGCATAATAGGAGCAGTTCCCAAAGGCTATTTCACACAACAGTAATCCCACTGGATGCTCCACAGGGAAAAATTCCTCAGGCAGAGGAGCTTAGAAAATACTGGGCAGTGTTTCCCAGCCCTGCATTCCAATGCTCATGAGCATAGGAGGCTGTAAGAATCCCTGCAGTAAAAGCATGCTTAGCTGTTTTCAAAGCCTTTGACCAGGTTTGTTTTCTTCAAAGAGCACTCCTATACATTCTATGGAACTTATTTTTCATGGAACCTACTTTGAGAAATATTGTTTTATTAACACCATTGTTAATTTTATGTTATTATTCAATGACAATGACTAATAGTATTATTGCTATTTTAATTAGTTTATAAATGCAATTATTAATGCATTACATTTTATAAATGAATAAAGGCCTTGAAAATTCCTTTATACAGAATTAGGGATGTAAATAGAAAACTAATTTCTGCACTCAAACCTAGCTCAAAGGTATTATTGTCTTAGGATGAGTTGCTTGAATATCCAATTTGTTTGATTAAGCAAATAGTGAAGTATTAAATGTGAAAGCAAGAAGAGCCTTTAGACAGAGCCTCAGAACCTCAGCGTCTTGGTGATGCTCCTTGCGGTTCTCCCAAGTCTTAAGTAGCTTGCCTTGTGGACTGTGCTGCTAGATAAAGGGAAGAGAATGGTGTGCCGTTGGGAGCCAGGTACCTCCCAGGCAAGGGCTTGGCGAGGGCTGCCTCATCCTCAGTGGGACTTCTCACCCACTGCTCGGGGCTCCTGCTCTATCCACTTTGCAGCTGGAGAGATGAAGCCCACAAAGGTGAAGCTACTTGCCCAGGACCACAGATAGTTGGCAGCAGTGCTGGGACCATGACCAGAAACCAGGCGCAACACCATGTGAGTGGGTCCTTCCTTCTGATAGCTTTATTCTGGAATTCTGGCCTTTCCACTTCCCAACGATAGATCTTGGGCAATGTACTTAATATCTCAGAGGATGTTTCCTGATCTGTGATATGGGTGTGTTAGGAACTAAATAACCCAGTAAAACACCCAGTGTGTACTTGGTGTATAGACAAGGGCTCCATAAATGGAGTCTCCCTTCCTTGCCTACCCCACTGCCACACAGCAGCTACAAGCCCTCTAACTTAATCATGACTTTAGTATGAAACCTAACAACACTTAAAGGAGTAGGGGTTTATCAATTAGGCAAAACAGAACTAATGTGATCTATTTAAACTACATCTCAGCTGCCAGAATATTCCTTAAATTGTAGCTTTCAATAATCCAACATATATAACAGTACTGTTAACCAGGAAATGCCAAGATTTCATCGTCTGCAGAAGGCAATATGACATGCCATTCCCTCTTTCTTTTAAACACCCACCATTCTACTTCTCCCCCCACCAACACCTCCAGGGATGAACTCAGGACCTTGTGCTTGCAAGGCAAGGTGCCCCTGAGCTCAATCCTCCGCCCCACGGCTCTACTTCTTAAGGTGAAATGAGGTTTGCTTTTTTCTCTCAGTAATGACAAAAAGGACAAGACAAACTTGTTCCTAAGAATTGCTTCACCTAAGAAAGGGACACCTTTCTCTGAATTCCCTCCTTTGATCTGATGTCCCTCTGTTTAAGCTTGCAAGAATCGAGCCTGTCCTTTGCTCCAGGCTTTGTGCAAAGTGCTCTGGGACGTTCATCTCATTTTAGTCCCATTCTAGCCGCTGAGGCAGGGATGGTGGTAATTTGATCCCCGGGGAAGTCTTTCTATGATCACAGGCTAGCAGACATTAAGCTGGACTTTAAAATCGGGTCAGGCTCTTCTCTATCTGATTCTGCTCTCTCTGCTTTTTAGAAAGAATGATCATCTCAAAGAAGGTTTAAATGCTTTTAGATAAGACTGAAGGATGGGGAAGAGGAAGAATAAACCACACAGTGGCCCAGAGACACCAGACCACGGGTGTGTTTACTTCTATTAGGTGTCCGTGTGCCCCACAAAAACCAACTTCTGGTTCTTGGCACGTTCATCGGTCCCCAACCAGCACCGCACTCCCTCCTTCCCTGGCTGTCCTCTGAGACCAGAGGAATTTAGTTGTGGTGGCTATTTGTATTTCTTCTGATGCACTTTGGTCTCCACTGCTTGGCAGTGTCTGGATTGCTAATTCACGCTTTCATTTCCCGGGAACCAGAGCCTCCAGCGGTCTGCCCTAGTTTCCTTTCAGCGGGGCAATGCCTTCCCACTTCCTTTGGGTACCGCCTGGAAAGGCGACTTCTCCTGCAGGTGCCAGACCCGCCCTCCTTACCTTCCTCTGGACGCTCACTCTCCAGCAGCGCCACCACCTCGGTGCCCTCCTCCCCAGAGCCCCGGACCTCATCCACGTCCACCACGGTGGCGGC